GGGGGGAACACGTTTGCTTTGAAGCTTTGGGATAAGTTAGCTGCGAAGCTGGGGTCCCGCTCGCTCACCTCTGCGGGAGTGCTCCTCACCCCGCACGTTTGCAGGGCTAGGAGATCGCATCTGGTTTCGATGCCGCTACCGTGTCGAAGAAGAACATTATGTGGTAAAATAGTATCTAATATCCTGGAGGCCGTTAGAGTGTCCAAGTTTCATGCCAAGCCCTTTAGCTGGAATGCTGCTCCGGTCTCCCTCTGACGCGCAGCCCGGCTCCGGAGCGCCCTGAAAACAAGGGGGTCCTTTTTTATTTTTTGCAGACGCACTGCCCTGCCTTCCTACTCCCCTCCTCCTCTACTCCAACCCCCGCCCCAGAGCCGGGTAAAGTTAAAGCAAGAATTTGGGCTTTCTTGTCATTCATGGCTTTGCTTCGCTTCAGGAGTGGTGCAAAATGCATTGTTACAAAACATTAGCCTATTAATAAGGGTAAGGTGACTGAGGAAGGGCTGGGAGACCTGAAATTTACATGGAGAGAGAGAGACAGAGAGACAGAGACAGAGACNGAGGAAGGGCTGGGAGACCTGAAATTTACATGGAGAGAGAGAGACAGAGACAGAGAGACAGAGACAGAGAGAGAGAATGGAATAACATCAGGAACTGAAAGAAGCATAGGGAAAAAGGAATTATTTCCATTTTAATTACCTAAGCGCAGTAGCACATTCTCTGGGCGGGATTTCAGAAAGCACAATATAGCCATAGCGGAGGAGGGACCAGTGTCCATTCTGGTCAGTAAGGTACATTGAAACATTTATTTCATTATTTGGGGATTTCACAAAAATCACTTGCATCAGTTAATAAGTAGCTTGAATGTGTAAAAGCTTTGCTCCGTCAGTTCACTGTTGCAGTGTTATAGTCAGTGGCACATCTAATGTTCTAAAGGAGTAACGTGGCCCAACTTGAAATGTTAATAGGTCAAGCCCCACATTTAAAGAATTCCTTTGTCCCACCAATGGGAGATCTACATATGGAAAACCGATTGTAGGAAGCACTTGCCTATGAATTGGAGCCCTTTGACACAAACCGGGATATAAATGTCTCAAAAAGGATTTCAGCTGTGACATAATAGAGTATGAAGAGTGCAGAATAAAATATGTAAGGTGATATACCTGTTATTTCTAAAGAACCTGAATTGCTTCTGCTAAGAACTGAGAAATGAAAAAATACTGAGCCCTCTAAACCCACTGTTTCCTATTTATCTTCACCCAGTTACTGTACCTGTCACAGGACCCCTTCAGAAAGATCTCATATATAAAATCAGGGTCAAGGAGAACTAATCCGTAGAAAACTGTCTTACAATGGCCACTAGGGGGCCCTAAAGGCATCTCAAAGAAGGAGCAGGGAAACGGGTTTCCAGTCTCATTTCCTGGGTACCTCATGGAGCTGGAATCTAAAGGCAAGTTAAGAGCATGGAGCAAAGTCTGCAGGCAAGTCAGGCTTTGCATTTTTAAAAAAAGACCAGAGACCCATTTTGACTCATGACTCATGAGTCAAAAATGTGGTTTCCCAATTCTTTCCTCTAAAAAAAAAAAATACAACAAAAAAGGAATACTGTATGCCCTCGACGAGAGGAAGGTGGCCTGATACTTTTACCTTCTTAAAGTCAGCCCAGTTATTTCTACTATTACAGATACAGCTTCTTTCTAAGGTTTTAGGAATTTTTTTTTCCTTTCCCAGAATGTTTTGAACATTCTTCAAGTGCCAGGTAGCAAAATAAATCTTCAGGGGTGATATGAAAAGTATTGAGCAACCTATAGCACAGGGCACCCGCTAACCACCTTATGGGAATTCAGGCCAGCCATCGGGCACTAGCACACCTGGTAGGCCAGGTATTAGTTCTTTAGTGAAATGGGGAGTGAGGACAGGGTGGTTCCTGGGGGGGTGGCAGGTGCAGCTGGAGTGGTGGTGGGGGGAGAGGAGGTGAGCTTAGTGCAGGGGACGCCTAACCGGCAAGTAGGAAGAATTTCAGCACTTTCACAAGTAATGTTATATTTGTCAAAACACCTGAATATCAGGCCTGATCACACATAAAGCTGCCCCGCACTTCCTGTAGACTTTAATATCTAGCAATCAAATTGTCAGGGCTTCCAAATCCTTGGCGGTCACGTATCTTTCCCACACCTTACCGGTAAATAAGGTTAAGACGTCCTTTATAGGAGGGTCAAGAATTGAACAGCTCTCAGGTTTCACAGAAAGAAGCCTAATCATCCCT